ACTGCCGTCGGCGGTGGCTGCCTGTCTCTGCCTCTCCTCGGAGGAGGAAGGTTTATCTGGACGCAGGAAACCAGAAGACAGTCTGAAGAACGCCTGTTTCCAACAGGCCAGCGTATAATTTGGGCCGTCGCTCCGGGGACAGCGCCATTGCTCCCGGCTCCCAGGCTGCCAGTCTCCCACACCAACACTGCTAACGCCCATGTCTTGGCCAGCTGGGTCACCAGACCCTTTGGGCTCTCCCCTGGCACACAGCCTTCTCCATCCTCACACAACGGCCTCACTGCTGCTGTAATTCCTCTTGTCTCCTGGGAGAAATAAGATTCCTTTCCCAGGACTTCCACAGCCCACATCTGCCACGTTTCACAAACAGGGAGGAAAATCCTGTCAAGAGCTGGTGTGTCTGGATTTTTTAGTGGGCAGGGCGTGTAGGAGGGGCCGATTTACCTTAATGCTAATGAAGCTGAAGCTTCAAGGTCCCTCACTGCAGGGCCTCACTACCCAAGGCCCTGTACTTAATTTTGACTCATCTTTTGGTATTATTTTTTATTAAAGAGCCCCTCTCCCCGAGTTGTACAAGTTTCAGCCCCACAAACCCAGCTCTGCCCTTGGAACCTACAGAGGGCATTTTGTGAAGGAGCAAGACAGCTCACACTGTACTGACTTTCGTGGTTTGACTGGGAAACAGCAAAGAGTTTGGAGTCAGAAGTCCCACATTCTGAGCCTCTCAGCTTCCCCACTTTCTTAATAGTTTGTGAGTTTGATAGAATTTCTTAACCTTATCTGATCCCAGTTTCCTTAGAATAGCAATCTCCTGTTCTCTGCTTTCCCTGCCAGGGATTGGAGGATCAATTGGAGATGATGTATGTAAAACTGTAAAATACTCCACAATGTCACTTGTGACATTACAGTGGAAGAAAAGTAGACCCTCAAGAAAGTTCCAAGTCTTCCACACACAGATCTGGAGCCCAGGTGTCCTGGCTCCTGGCCCTGAACTTTTTGGCTGGGCCAAGGGGCCTTTCGGTAAAATGCCTTGGAATAAAACAGGATGAACATGAATCATAAGAATGATTATTATTGATTTTTCATTCCTTGGGCAGCAAAAATCATGGCTGGCACTCTTCCCACTTGGAAACTGATTGGCTTGTTTTACATCTATTGTGTCTCTGGTGAGGTCAGGAGTCTAGGATTTGGGCTATGGGCCAGAGTGTGGGGGAACCTGCCCTTGGTCCTCTTTCTTTGCCCCCTCTCCTAATTCATTCCCCTCTTCCCTCCCAGTTTTCTGCCCTGTGCCTTGAAGCAGAACCTCAGCATTCCACAACCCCAGTCCAGGCTGGTGACAAGGCATAATCCTAGCTACACATTCTCCACTTGGCCCCAGCCCTTCCCTGGTTTGCCAGTATCCCAGCACTAGCTCATATAAAACCCCTACGGTGCCTGGAATGCCTTAACCAAAGTGTGGTACTTAAATTCCTAATGTACGTGGAGTAATTTTAGATGGTATACAAATGAATGTATTGTTTTCAAAGTTGTGTATTATAATGTGTATTTGGAAATGTACTGTTTTTTAAGTTTTTATTTAAGATAGTGACATAAAGATTTCTTCCTCCCCTCCTTTTTGGAGCTACTGTCCCTCATGTATTTTTTTTCTTTTTTATTGAGGTATAACTTACAGGTAATGAAGTCCACACATCTTAAGTGTACAGCTTGATGCATTTTTACATATGTATACATAGTATTCATGTCATATATGTATAAAATGTAACCACCACCCAGATTAAGACATTGAATATTTCTGGCATTTATCAGGCTCACTCAAAGTTACTATTCCTTTCCAAATGTCACCACTATTCTGAGCTCTACTGCCGTAAGTTTAGCCTGTTTTTAGATTTCATACACATGGAACCATTCTGTATGTACTCTTTTATATCTTTCCTCTTTCACTCAATATTATGTCTGAGATTAATTTATGCACATAATAGTGGTTTATTCCTTTTCATTGCAATATAGTATTCTATTGTATACATATACCACAATTTATCCTTTCGGCTTCTAATGGGCATTTGAATTGTTTCCAGTTTTTGACTATTATGAGTAAGACTGTTTCAAACATTCTTGTGCATATCTTTTGGTGGATATATGCATTCATTCCTCCTGGGTATGTTTCCAGGAGTGGAATTCTTGTGTCACAGGATATAAATATATTGGACATTTTAGATATTGCCAATTAGTTTTGTCAGGCTTTTTGGATTTTGGTTATTCTAATAGGTGTGCAGTGACATCTCATTGTTTTAATTTGCAATTCCTTAATGATACATAATGTTGGATATCTTCTCATATGCTTAATGCCATCTGATATCATTTTTGGTGAGCTGTCTGTTGAGATCTTTTGCCCATTTTTTCATTTAGGTTGTTTGTTTTCTTACTGTTGAGTTTGTATATCTTGGCTAACAGTCCTTTATCAGATGTGTCTTTTGCAAATATTTTCTCCCAATCTGTGGCTTGTCCTTTCATTCTCTTGACGTTGTCTTTCTCAGAGCAGAAGTTTTTTATTTTAATAAAGTCCAGTTCACCAATTGTGTTTTTGATGACTTTGGTGTCATATCTAAAAAGACACTGCCATACCCAAGGTCACCTAGGTTTTCTCCTGTGTTATCTTCTAGGAGTTTTATAGTTCTGTGATTTAGATTTAGGTCTATGATCAATTTGGGGGTTTTTGTGAAGGATGAAAGGTCTGTGTCTAGAATAATTTTTAAATTAAAAATTTTTATTGGTAAGGGGAAGGAAATGAGGTTTGTTTGTTTATTTATTTATTTTAATGGAGGTACTGGGAATTGAACACAGGATCTCCTGCATGCTAAGCACACACTCTACCACTATGCTATACCCTCCCTGCCAGATTAATTTTTTTTTAACATGTGGATGTCCAGTTGTTCCAGCTCCATTTGCTGAAAAGGCTATCTTTGCTCCATTGTATTGCTTTTGCTCCCTTATCGAAAATTGGTTGATTGTATTTATGTGGGTCTGTTCCTGGAATCTCTGTTATATTCCATTGATCTATTTGTTCTTTCACCAATACCACACTGTCTTTCCCTTTCCTTTTTTTTTTTTTGTATATATATATTTTTACTGAAATATAGTCAGTTTATAATGTTGTATCAATTTCTGGTGTACAGCACAATACTTCAGTCATACATGAACATACATATATTCGTTTTCATTTTCTTTTTTACCATAAGTTACTACAAGATATTGAATATAGTTCCCTGCGCTATACAGCATGAACCTGTTGTTTATCTATTCTGTATATAAGTATCAGTTAGTATCTGCAAATCTCTAATTCCCAGTTTATCCCCTCCCACCTCCTCCCTGGTAACCACAAGTTTGTTATCTATGTCTAAGAGTCTGTTTCTGTTTTCCGAATAAATTCATTTGTCTCTTTTTATATATTCCACATATAAGTGATATCATATGGTATTTTTCTTTCTCTTTCTGGCTTATTTCACTTAGAATGACGATCTCTATGTCCACCCATGTTGTTGCAAATGGCATTATTTTACTCTTTTATGGCTGAGTAGTATTCCATTGTATAAATATACCACAACTTTTTATCCAGTCATCTGTCAATGGACATTTAGGTTGTTTCCATGTCTTCACTGCTGTAAATAGTGCTGCTGTGAACATTGGGGTGCATGTATCTCTTTAAATTCCTCTTCTTTTTTTTTAACTTTTTTTTTTATTGAGTTATAGTCATTTTACAATGTTGTGTCAAATTCCATTGTAGAACACAATTTTTCAGTTATACTGAAGTATACATACATATATTCATTGTCACTTTTTTTTCGCCGTGAGCTACCACAAGATCTTGTATATATTTCCCTGTGCTATACAGTATAATCTTGTTTATCTATTCTATATTTTGAAATCCCAGTCTGTCCCTTCCCACCCCCCGCCCCCTTGGCAACCACAAGTTTGTGTTCTGTGTCTATGAGTCTGTTTCTGTTTTGTATTTATGTTCTTTTTTTTTAGATTCCACATATGAGCGATCTCATATGGGATTTTTCTTTCTCTTTCTGGCTTACTTCACTTAGAATGACATTCTCCAGGAACATCCATGTTATATCTCTTTAAATTCCTTTCCATATAAATTTTGAAATCAATTTGTTAAAGGGAGAAGAGTATAGCTCTGTGGTAGAGTGCCTGCTGAGCATGCACAAGGTCCTGTGTTCCATCACCAGTACCTCTATTAAAACAAACAAACAAACAAACCTAATTACCTCCCCCACTTAAAAAAAATCCATTTGTTAATATCCATAAAATAAGTTGTTGGGATTTTGACTGTGATTGCTTTGAATCTGTAGATCAAAATGGCAAGAACTGATATCTTGACAATATTATGTTTTCCTATTCATGAACACAGACATTTCTCCATATATTTAGTTCTTTGCTATCTTTCATCAAAGTTTGGTAGTTTTCCTCATATACATATTTCATTAGATTTATACTTAAGTATTTCACTTTTTGAGTGCTAATGTAAATGACAATATGTTTTTAATTTCAAATTCCTCTTGTTTATCGCTGGTATATAGGAAAGCAATTGACTTTATTTTATTTACTTTTTAACATTTTTTATTGATTTATAATCATTTTACAATGTTGTGTGAAATTCCAGTGTAGAGCACAATTTTTCAGTTATACATGAACATATATATATTCATTGTCACATTTTTTTCTCTGTGAGCTACCATAAGATCTTGTATATATTCCCTGTGCTATACAGTATAATCTTGTTCATCTATTCTATAACTTTGAAATCCCAGCCTATCCCTTCCCACCCAGGAAAGCAGTTGACTTTATACATTAACATTGTACCTACGAACTTCCTATAATTAGGAGGAACCACCATACTATTTTCCACAGTGTCAGTACCATTTTACATTCCTACCAACAGTACGCAAGGGTTCCAATTTCTCCAGATCCTTACCAACACTTACATTTTCTAGTTTTTTTTTTTTATGGTAGCCATCCACATGAGTGTGATATGGTATCTCATTGTAGTTTTGATTTGTATTTCACTAACAATTAGTGATGCTGAGCATCTTTTCATGTGTTTACTGGCCATTTGTATATCTCATTTGGAAAAATGTCTTTTTAAGTCCTTTGCTTATTTTTGAATCAGGTTGTTTTGTTGTAATTCTTGAGTCTCTATTTCTTTTGAGTGAGCTTTGATAGTTTGTGTTCCTCAAGAAATTTGTTCATTTCATTTGAATTGTTGTATTTATGGATTTTTTTTTAACATTTGCAGTATTCCTTTGCTATCCTTCTAATGTCTTTAGGGTCTGTAGCAATGTCATCTCATTTCTATTATTTATAATTTATGTATCTTCTCTCTCTCTCTTTTTTTTTCTTGGCCTGTCTGGCTAGAGGTTTATCCATTTTATTTATTTTTTTCTGCAAAGAATTAGCTTTTGGTTTCACCAATTTTCTCTACAGTTTGTTCCCTGTTTCATTGTTCTCTCTTTCTGTTCTATCTGTATTAGTTTCTTTTTCCTGCCTACTTTGGGTCCAATTTACTCTTCTTTTTTTTCTAGCTTTTTAAGGTAGAAGCTTACATTATTGATTTGAGATGTTTATAATCTAAGTACTTAATATTCTGTTTCCCTTTAAGCATTGCTTAAATGCATCTCAAATTTTTTGATAGGTTTTCATCTTCATTCAGTTTAAAATATTTGTAATTTCCTTTATGGTTTCATCTTTCATCTATGGATTATTTAGAAGTGCCTTGCTTAGTTTCAGAATAGAGGTTTTCCAGATGTCTTTCTGTTATGGATTTCTAATTAATTCTGTTATGGACATAGATTATACTTTCTATGATTTCATTTTTGTTTTTACACTTCTTAAGGTTTGTTTTGTGGCCCAGCATGTGGTCTGTTTTGGTGAGTGATCCATGTGCTGTTGAAGAGAATGAGTATTTTGGCTAGTGTTGCTTGGAATATTTTACAACTGCAAATTAGGACAAGCAAGTTGCTGGTGCCTCAGGTGTTCTAAATCCTTTATCATTTTCTCTCTACTTGTTCTATGGATTATCAAGAGAGTGATTATAGTTTCCTACTATAACTGGGTTTATCTGTTTCTCCTTTCAGTTCCATCCGTTTTGCTTCATATATTTGAAGCTCTGTTAACAAAATTGTATTTGCTTATTAAAACTATATGTAAATTAGTGTTCACACATAAATAAATCTGCAGGAGTATACCCTAAATTATTAACAGTGGTTACTGGTGGAGGGTATTAGAGACTTTGGTTCTCTATGTTAAATAGTTCTGTAATCTTAAGTGTTTTATAATATATATGTATTCTTTTTGAACTTTGAAAATATAAAGATTCATTTTAAAGAACAGAGAAAGATGATTACATGCCTATGAATGTGTCCCCCAAGTCTGCAAATCTTTCTCTGGTCCATCTTGGAAAAAAGTCAGCTGGGTGCTCTCTGCCTGTCCCACTCCTGCCAAGCTCCCAGACCATTTCTTATACCTCTTGCCTCTGCTTCCTTATCAGCCCTTCCTTCCTCACCTCCTGTCATTTGGCTTTGGGCCCAGGTGCCTGGGAAAGAAACAATTTTCTGAGTTCACCATGTGGCCTACTATCCCAGCAGGCTTTCCACTGTGTTACTTGACTCTGTGAGCAAATTTCACCCACTTTATCTTCAGGTTATTTCTCGGATGTTTTCCATTTTCCAGATTCCTATTCTCTCAAGACATTCTCCCTCTCTCATCATTGGGCCAGCTCTTACTTTCCCCTCAGGAGTCAGAGCAAATGTCTCTGTTTCCAGGAATCCTTGCCAAACCCCAGCCCTGCTCTGTTCCCACCCCTCCCTGCAGAATCTTCACCACTCTTGTTGAACACCTGGCTCCCATGCTGACTGGAAGTCCTATGAGGGTTGGGGCCATGTCCACCTGCCTCTGTTGTTGACTCACTTACATGGAAGGATTCCTAATCCGCCTCTTTGCAGCCAGTCCCTCCTGTATACAGCTCCCAAGTGAGTCACTTTAATCATGTTATCCTCAGTTCTAGAACCTGCAATGACTCCCTAGTGCCCACTGAATCCAGTCCAAACTATTCCTCTGGGGTAAATTTAATTACATCGAAATTAAAGATTTCTGTTCGATGAAGTGGACAAAATGAAGAGAGAGATGACAAAATGGGAGAATACTTTTGTAAGGTCCAAAACCAACAAAGGATATAGGCTCTCTGAAGATCTCTTGCAAATCGATAGCCAAAAGGGCATCAATAGAAATATGACCAAATGATATAAAAAGCTTATTTATATAAAAGGAAATCTTAAACACTAATAACCAGGTGCAGAGATGCTCAAACTCTTTAGTGATCTGACAAATGCAAATAAAACAACAATGAAATAATACCTTGGTCAGACTAGCAGAAATCAGACAGCTGGATAATATCAATCATATGGGAACATAGGAACCTTCTACTCTGCCTGTGGAGTGTGGGCTGGTGCATACGTTGCAGAGAAAAATATGGCTGTGCTTAGTCAAACTGAGACAGATATATTTATACCCTATGACCTAGCAAGTTCACACCTGGCTTTCACATATATAACCCAGAGAGTCTCACAAGTTCTATAAGAGGACAAGGCTGAAGATGTACAGCTGCACTGTTGCTTGTGGGATGAGAGCTGGGTCCAGTAAGATGTCCCTCCCTGGGAGAGTGGAGAGGCGAGAGGTGGGAGATGCTCCCACGGGTCACCTCGCAGCTATTAAAGCAACTCAGTGTTCACAGAGCAACCTGGCTGGATCTAAAAACCATAGTATTGGGTGAAAAGTAATGTGTTCACACACACACACACACACACACACACGCATACACACATCAAAACCAACTGCCAAGAGACATTTTGAGGAATTTGGTTATGGATTGGATAGTAGGTATTACGCTAATTTTGTTAGGCGTGATTATGTCACTCCCAGTGGGTAAGAAAATGGTCAATGTTGGGGGAGTGGGGCAATGCGTAACTGAAAAATACAGGGGTGAAATGGCATGAGGTAGGGAATTTATTTTGTTCAGGAAAGGGAAATGAGAAAGATGAAACAAATATGTTTTAGGCAAAGATTTAAGCAAGATTTCAAGGCAAAATCTTGATCATTTTGGAGTCTTGGAGATGAGTATATGGGGGTTTATTGTACTGTCATCTCTACTTTTGTGTATGTATTACAGATTTCCTAATAAAAATAAAACAGTATCAATGGTACATATTTTCAAGAACATGTTAGCACAAAAAGATACACATTAAAAATGTTAGGATGATTGCCTGTGGAGGGGAAAGAAAATAGGAGAGGAGAGTAGAAAATGAAGACAAAGGGGAAGGAAGGACAGAAGGAAGGAAACAAGAATGGTCAACGAGTATCTGCCTTGAACTGAGGAGGATGATTTACTTAACTGTCTGCACTTAAAGTCCAAAAGAAGGAGGAAAGAAATAGATCTCCCCTATACCTCTACCACCGAGGCATTTATTTTTTATTTTTTAAACCTTTTTTTTACTGAGTTATAGTCATTTACCACGGAAGCATTTTAATTTTTTTTTTCTAAGCCTCTAACCTTCATTCCTGTGCCCACTCTACTTTTCCACCTGTCTGGGCCCATGACAGTGACATCACTGCGTGCCTTGCTGAGGAAACAGGAATGAGCTTTGGTTTACTAAATGTCAGCACTGGGCTAGGACCCACCGGGTATGTGATCTCAATTCATCCTCTTGGTAACATTGTGAGGTGAGTACAGTATCTTTACCTCCACTCTACAGATGCAGACAGCTGAGCTCAGGAATGTGGTTCTTAGCTGGAATTCCAAACATCTTGCCTCAAACACCCAGGATCTTGTGATTATACCAAGCTGATCCAATCACTTCATCATCATTATTATTTTTAAGACCTGCCTAGTGGTCCATGATATTGATGTGGGGTAATTTACTGTAATTTACTAACCGCTCTCCTATTTCTAAGTATTTGGGCACTTTCTAGTTTTTGCTTTTATAGACAGTCTTGCAAAGAATATTTTCAGGTATAGAGATTTTGGATTCTGTTGAACGATTCCCTTACCAGGAGTGGGGTTACTTTGTGTTCACACATGAAGGTGAACCCCATTATGGCAGTTAATTCATGTCGAGGTAGTTTTCCTGAGAGGAAATGCAGGTGTGGGGGCAGGGTGGCTGGGAGGGGAAGCCATGCAGGAAGTTGGATCCTGATTGATTTTTTGTGGTCTTTCCATTTATTTCCTTAATACATTCCCTAATGTCTCAGGGTGGAGAACAGGGCCCCGGCAAGCCTGGGGGACTGGGACAATGCTGTGGGACATGAAGCTGTTGTGTATGGGAGGAGGGGGACTGGGACCACTCTCCCTGGGGCCGCAGTAGATCTCTGGGCCTTTGGTGGCTTCCCTGGCCAGCCTGGGAGGGGTCAGACAGGGATAGGCAGCGGGTAAATATAGATCCAGGGGAGGAAGCCAGGCAGCCCAACCCTGCACTGACCTCTCTTTGGAAGGCTGAGGAGGGATTATGTCCTGGCACCCTCCTCTCCAGGGATGGATGACACCTGGCCCAGCAGCCCCCTAGAATTGTTGGAAGTGGCTGGGTGAGGGTGGGGGGCAGAGGCTCCAAGGGAATGACAATGGTAGCTAGTGGAAATCTGGCAGAGGTGCTGTTCCTGTGAACGATGGCAAACCACACCCTCTCTGGTAATCCCCATCAGAGGTGCTGCCCAGCCTGATGAGCTCAGGGTAAGGGGCTAACTGGCCCAGGGATGTGGGGTCCACTGTACAAGGAGATGGGGGCGAGGCTCCCTTACAGCCCCTCTCCCCACCTCCGTGAGTCTTGCTTATTTTGGAGAGGAAGGATGTCTGGAGCATAAAGTTGGCTTACTTTGCTCTCCCATCCCCTTCCCTGGGTGCTGGCCCTCTCCACGCTAGGGCTCTGGACCACCAGCCCTGCCCCGCCCCAACTCTGGGGCCACTCCCCTGGCCTGGCCCTCCCTGCCCCTCAAGGCTGCAGCCCTGCATCAGCTCCACAACATACATCCCATGTCCATCCACCTGGTGCAGCCAAGACCCCTTGAACCCCTGACTCTGGGAGGGGAATTCCAGCAAGGCACTCACTCCACCACAGATGCATTTATTAGCAAAACCTATTCCCAAGCATCAAGGGGAAGGGCGCTCACAGACTGAGTGACTTTTTTGAAATTTTCTCAGCAATATTCAAGGAGCAGAGGTTGGGAAGGGACAGAGATATCCTAACCAGAATAACAATATCAGAGGCTAACTTTATGGAGCTCTTCCTCAGAGGTCTGAGGCCAGGCTCTGTGCTAAGCAATCACTATAGGCACTGTCTCATTTAATCCTTATAACAACCCTACGAAGTAGGTACCATTGTCGTCCCCATTTTACAGATGAGGAAACTGAGGCATAGAACAGTAAAGTGGTGGGAGGCAGCCGCCAGCCTTCAGGGAGTTACCCGAGAGCCCCCCTCCCTTCCTTATCTGTCACACCCTGATTCTCAGTTTCATCCATCTCTCACCACTTTCAGTTCTTTCAACTCTTTTTATATTTTTGTTTTGTAAAAAAAATAGATTTTGCCCATATCTGCAGAACCCACTGTCTTCTACCCCAACTAGTCAAATCTGGGTCCTCCCCAAGATTTGGTTCAGGTAGGGCTGGGGACAGTGAGTCTCTAATTGGGTACCTGGGTGTGTGTGTGTGTGCGTGCGCATGCGTGTAGCTGAAAGAAAATGGAAACTCTGAGAATACACAAGCAATAAATTACAAACCTCCCCCTCCCCTCCCCATCTCCTCCCGACCTTCCCATCCTCCCCCTACCCCCCATCCAAATCAAGAACAGACTGTGCATTGCCCCCCACCCCTATCCCCAGGGCAAGGTCTTGTCTCAGTCACCACTGTGTCCACTGGGTCCAAGGCCTTCAGTAAATGTTTGTGGAATGAATGAATGAGTGAATGAATAACAGTGTGGGGGGGAGGGAGCAAGCACTTAGGAGTCTTGATTCCCAGCCCTGATTTTGTCCTCACCTGCACCTTGTCCTCACTTGCACTTTGTCCTCACCAGGACACCTCTCTCTGCCCCAGAAAAGAGGATCCCCAGTGGGAAAAGAGAGGCCAGCAGGGGCATCTCTAAGCATGGAAAGTGGGTGACTGAAGTAGACCCTGGTCTCAGAGTCAGAAGACCTGGTTCAGATCCCTGCTTTGGAGCTATGTGACCTTGGGCAGGTTTGCAGAATGATGACTACTGTGTAAATAGTCCTTTCAGATTTTACAAAGCCCTTTTTTCATATTTATCTTTGGCCCTCAGTAACCATCCTATAATGTGGTATAATTATCAATATGCCCATTTTACAGACTAGAAAGCGTAGGCTAGAGAGGTCCAGGGACTTGCCCAAGATCACACAGCAAGCAGGAATTTGAATCCCCCCGTCCAGCTCCCACCCTTGTTCCTGCCACATCTGTGCCAGGAGGAGGCCAGGCTTGGATCTAAGTCTTCCAGCACAGGACCCCCGGGTGACAGTGTGGCCGCAGGTGGGACTGCACAGCGATTCCCCTACTGTGGGCCCCACTGGCCATTTCCAGCCAGAAATGCCAGTCTACTCTTCATGGATGGTTTCCTAGACATCCTTTCTCCCCCCACCCCAACAGCCCCGGGGCCTCAGCTGCTGCCCCAGGAGGGACCTGGGTGTCCAGGAGGTGACCATGAACTTCTGCTTTTCCTGGGAGACTGCAGAAGTGGAAGGGTGAAGGGGGCTCTGGGGCCTGGGCCCTCTCCTCACACAGGCATGGTCACCTCATCATATTCATCCTGGCCATTCTCCTCATCAAAGTTCGGCTTGGCATCGTCAGCATCCAGCTGGCGGGTAAGGGTAGGAAAGAGACCGGGTGAGTGGCTGAGAGGCCAGGTGAGCCCTCCCCCTACAGGAAGACCCCAGGACTAGCTGCTCAGTGGTCAGGACAGCTCACATGGAACACATCCTTTGAGCCCTTAGCCCTCTCACAAACCCTGTCATTATTCCTCTGTTTACAGGGCACAGAGGAGTGAAGTCACACGCTAGCATGTGGCAGTGCCAGGATTTGGAAGCAAGCCCCAACCCATACCTTAATCATGATGCTCTTCTGCCTTCAGTAGTCCCAATACCCACCCTTCACATTCTCCCAACGCCCTGATGACCTCTCTCTGCCCCTTGCTCTGGACACAGGGAATGGGGGCACTAGGGATGGGTGGGAGCAGCTACTCACACACTGGAGCTCCACATCCCGGAAGATGAGTGGCAGCAGGAAGCGGCGTAGGGGCACCGTGAGGATGAGGATGAAGGGCAGGGCCAGCGAGATGATCCCAATGGACTTTACCACCCACAGCACTATCAGGCAGAGGATCTGGATGCCCGTGAACAAGTGCATGCGCAAGGTTTTTACCTGTGGGCAGAGGCTGGGGTCATCGCCTGCCCTGCCCGGGAGCCAGCACCCCTCACCCTACCCTGCTGGGCAGCCAGGAGGGCCCTGTACCCGCTTGACATAGGGCACATCCGGGTGGTACTTTCTCGGCTTGAACAGAAGCAAGACGCGGTCGAAGAGCTGGATGCCACTGAGGGATGTGACCCCCATGTAGAGGAAGATGCCAAACAGAACAGCCAGGGGGATGTAGGACAGGACGGGCCACATGAGGACGGACAGGCCTGTGGAGAGAACCATGCATTCTCAGTCCCAGTTGTGCCAGAGGATCAGCACCAGCAGGGGCTGGGGAATGAAATCACAGGTACCATAGGACACCCTTTCTGTGGATCTTCTTAATAGGTGTTACCCCCATTTTATAGATGAGGAAACAGACTCAGAGAAGTGAAGCAACTTATCTAAGGCCACACAGATAGTAAGTGGCAGAGCAGGAAGTCAAACTCCTGCCTGCCTGACTTCAAAGCCTACTCCTTTGACCTAGGGGCTCATAGAGGTCAGAGCAGCCCACCTTTTACCTTACCTGGATCCAGAATGCCTCCATCATCCCCACCTATCCCAGCCCTCCTCCAGCTAACATCAGCTTCGCCTCATTTAAGAAACGTCCCTGGCCTCTCCATCAGCAATCATGGTGCTGTCCACACCGAGCCCAGCTGGACTCTCAGCTGCTCCAGAGCTCAGATCAGTGACCCTCTGTCTTCATCTCCCCCACTCCCACCCCCACCAGATTATGCCTGGAGCACTGCCCTTTGTATCAGTCACAGAGCAGCTGAGCTAGAGAGACCTCAGGGGCATCTAATGAACCCTCTAATGGTGCAGACAGGGAAACTTGAGGCCCAGAGACAAGGAGGGATACCTAGTTAGCAGCAGGGCAGGGCTGGGACCCACAGTTCACTGAAGTGTCAGAGAAGCTGTGAATACAGGGTCCTGTCTAGAGAAGGTTTGGTAATAGAGGACCTCCTCTTCTTCCCCTGCTCAGATGCCCATCTCATTGCTTTGGGTACTTCTTCCAGAATTCCCTCATACTGGGGAGATATGGGCAGTGGGTTTGAGGGGAGACCTGGCTGCAGGGCGGCCAGGGCTGGAGGAGCACTGGATCCTAAGGGGCAAGGGTGGAGAGCCAGAGGCACGGCCAGAGGGTGGTGGAGAGTGTGGCCGGTCCTTACTCACCCACTAGCACAGCGACCAGGAGCCCGCTGATCCGCTGTTCCTTGACTTCCTGAATCTGAGCTGTAGCCCCTGGGGAGCTGGGCTTGCTCATGACAGTGAGGGCATTGGCGTGGGTGACAGAACGCACAGTGGTGGCACTGAGCCAGGGCATCCCAAAGAGGGCGGCCACCCCACCCATGCCCATGATCAGCAGCAGATCCAGGTGGAAACCAGAACCCTTGACCAGCTTGCGCTCCGGTTTGCTGATGATCAGCCTGGGGATGTGGGAGGTCAGGGTTAACCAGGGCTCTCTATCACCCCCACCCCATCTGCCTCCCCTTTCCTTCTGACTTGGGTCCCTCTGTACTTCAATTTATCCTTTTGTGCCCATCTCACTTGGAGCTCCTTGCTCCCCTCCCTCTTGCCGCATCTTGAGAACCAAGACTCTAAGAGCAGACTTTGAAGACGTCACCGAGAAGACCCACAGGCAGATTTACTCCAAAGATAACGAAGCGTAAGCTTCAGGGAACTTAATGGGTAGAGGCCCCTTCCAGGATCTAGCACCTAATTTTATAGTTCTCGTTTTATATTCTTTTTCTTAAAAAGGGCTCCCCAGGTAATACAATGTCAGTTCCCACAAAACCTGGACCTGCCCCTGCCCATCATCATCCCTACTAGCACTCAGTCCCTTGTGTCTTGCTTGCCTGGAGCCTGTCCCTTTCTCTGCCTCGGACCCTCCCAGGCCTACCCTGGCTCTTACGTGGTGATCTGGGACTCTAGGAAGATGAGGATGAAGACCAGCATGGCAGGCAGCAAGGAAGCAAACATCATCCAGATGGGAAATTCGGATCGCAAACCCAGCGGGTTGATGAACCAGCCCCGGGCCGAGGAGTTGGATAAGGCAAGGCCTTTAGGTACGCTGAGTTTCTGTGGTAGGGGATGCTGGTGAGAACTCCTGGGGGCAGGGGGATGGGGAAAGGTGGGGGCAAGGGGAGCCAAGGTCCTGGGCATTTGGGACCTTACTCCTTTTGAACATCTATTTTGTACTTAGTCACTGCACTAAGTCTTTTCCATGTATCTTCTCATTCCCTACTTATAGAGGTGAGGAAACAGGATCAGGGAAGTTACGTAGCCTGCTCTGCATCGCCTAGCTATCTGGTGGCAAAACTGAGATTCATACTCAGATCAGCCTGGCTCCAAAGCAGATTCTTTCTTACTGCCCTTGATTAAGAAGTAAAAGGGGGAAACCTGACACAGGCCCTTGCTTCAGCCACAGGGGTCCTGAGGGGCTGTGGGAAGAACATAGGGCTATCCAGGGAGGCAAGGATGGAGTAGGGGTAGCCCTAGCTGGTTTCAGGTTTGGGAAGGCTGTTTTGGGGAGAGGGTATGCTGGGGGAATGAAATAAGGTGGGAGGAGAGGGTCACCTGAGTGTAGGTGTCCTGGATGAGGGCATCCACCATGACCATGATCAGGATAGAGATGGGAACCCCAAAGTCCCCGATGACCCGTCGCAGCTGAGGGCAGGTGGAGGGACCAGTGGTCAGTGCCCAATTGCTCTCCACTTTCCCCCTCCCACTTGCCCCTGCTCCTGTGCCATCTTCACCCAGAGGGTCCCACTATTCTCAGGGTATCCATCAACATCTAATGCCCTGTCCTGTACCTCAGCGTACCTGGCTCCTTTCTTCTTCCCATGGCCCAGCCCCACCCTTGGCCCCACAGCTTCCCCACTCCCTTCCAAGAACTATCCTCGGCTCCCCACTGGATTCTCAGCCTGAGAATGCTCGGCTTGTCTGAAGAGTAAAATCCTGGGTGATGAGGGGACGGGGGGCTTGGAATTGGAAATGGGAATCTGGGGTAAGAAAGGGAGCTAATGGCATTGGGAAAGCAGAGGGGAGTGCTTTGGCCTGGGATGGGGCAGGGTAGGCAAGGACAGGTGGGGAGGATGTGCTGACCTTGCCAGGGAAGTAGGCGCTGTTCTTGAACTTGCGTAGCACCATGGCAAAGAAGAAGGTGCCAGCCATGAGCACAAAAGAGAGGAGGGCTGTGTTGGGCAGGGGAGCCTGAGGTTTGGGTATCACTGGTACATTTTGGTCATAATTCCTCTGCAGTGGGTGGTCCTGGAAGATCTGTAGCAGAAAACAAAGGCATCCTGTTTCCTCCCATCCATCTGTCCCACATCCATCATTATCCATCTGTCCATCCATCATCCATCCATCCATCCATCTGTCCCTTCATCATCCATCTACCTATTTTCTTCCTCAACGGAAATGGTAGCATACAGGCAATGGGATTTCACAGCTTAGTTTTCAGGAATGAGGACCAGGCTAGTCTCAGGTGGAGCGAGCCATGGAGACAATGAGTGTGTGTGTGTGTGTGTGTGTGTGCGTGTGCTTCCAGGGCCTGGGAGACAAGAGAAGGCTGGAGGGAAGGAAACAAGTGCCAAGGAGATTCTCCAAAAGAGTTGTTCTCCAAAGACTTGCAAACAGAAAGACACACGTATGTGGTCACAGTTACATACCGTGGAAACACAGCTGCACAAATGCTATACAGACATGTGTGTATTGACACCCATAGTCATGTAGTTTGCGCACACTCTCACACACACACACACACACACGTGCTTGTTAACGCTCTCATGGCCTCTCACCTGGACCAGCTTTGCGAAGGTCTCATAGATGAAGATGAGGGAGATGAGGATGGAGAAGATCTCCTGGGTATACCGGGAGATGAAGCGGACCAGGAAGCTGCCCTCGAAGGCCACCACCAGCACCACCAGCAGGATGAGCCAGAAGCCAATCCACACACGGCCTACAATGTACTCCAGGTTGTTCCTGGTGCAGAACTGCAGGGTGGTCAGAGGGAGCAGGGGGTCAGATAAACGAGCCCAGGCACCATGCATCAGGCGGCTGGGTGGGGCAGTTACACGGTCACATCAGAGCTAGAAGACAGTTACCGAGAAGAACGCTTCCTCAAACACGAGCAGGGGTCCTGAGAAGCCCACCACAAGCAGGGGCTGAGCCCCCAGCAGGGAGAACAAGATGCCCTGCACCGCGGTGGAGATGAGCAGTTCCGACACCCCCATCAGGTTCTGGGTCTTTTCTCCTGTGGGTAGAAGTGATAGTGGGGGCAAGGTCAAGATCATTTCCAGAGGTTGATAGAGCATTTCACAGGTAAGCTGATGCTGGGGCCCAGAATGTCAGATAGGGTCCAAGTCAGGGCTGATACAGAGGCCAACGGGTCAGAGGTGAGGGTTAGTGGGACATGCAGAGGCACTCACCGAGGAGGCCTCCAAAGGTGATGGCGGGTGACAGGGCAGCAAAGTAGATGAAGATGACAGCAGCCAGGACCTGGGGGCTCAACGCATCTGAGATGTCACTCAAGTAGCGGGGGTAGCGGCGACGGATGTCACGCACCAACCCTCCGAAGAGCCTGCCCGTCCGCCGCAGAGGGTCACCTGAGATATCTTCATCTTCATGTAAATCTGTAGTGATGGACAGGATCATGGTCACAGGGGGTTGAAGGGGGAAGTATGGGGAGAGGGGAATTAAGGGGGATATTGTCTGATGGGAATGGGGTGGTCCAGGAGGCTGGGAGGAATGACACAGGGAGAGGGGACACGGGGTATTTAATGTGAAGAGGGGAGGCAGGGGCTCACTGGGCTGTGCTGGGGTGTCTGAGGGTCTGTGGGGGCTCAGAAAGCCTTGAGCTGGGCAGGGTGGCAGGTACCTAGTCTCTTGAGGATGGGTTCTGGCTCAACAGGCCTGGATGGGCGTCTAGGTGGTGGTGCCTTCGGGATGGGTTCTGGCTTAACAGGGCTGGATGGGCGTCTCCTCGGGAGTTCCTCCGGGATGGGTACTGGCTTAACAGGGCTGGATGGGCGTCTCCGCGGGAGTTCCTCCGGGATTGGTACTGGCTTGGCAGGGCTGGATGGGCGTCTCCGCGGGAGTTCCTCCGGAATGGGTACTGGCTTGGCAGGGCTGGATGGCCGTCTCCGCGGGAGTTCCTCCGGGATGGGTTCTGGCTTGGCAGAGCTGGACAGGCGTCTCCGCAGCAGTTCCATCTGCACAGGCAGCAGACTGCGCAGGGCCTTCTCGGAGGGAGCATCCGATGGAGGCAGCACCAGACTGCAGTCTAGGAAGCCCTCCAGGGAGTGTACCAGCGTCTCCTTGCTCTGGGCTAAGTATGCATCAATTCGGAACACCTGGGGGCAGGAGAGAAAGTCAGGGCAACTCGGATCTGCTCCATAAAAGGATCCAGGGCCTCTGGGGACCAGAACCCTCTCACCAGCTCCTTCCTTCTAGGAACTGCGTTACCAGCCCCCCACCCGTCTACCCTCCCCTAGGAAGGGGCTCTGGGGAGGCAGACGGGGCCCTGAGTGGGGAAGCAGAAAGAACTGAAGCAAACCAGGTGGCTTGTAGCAGGTCAGATGGGACTAGAGCAGACCAGGCCAGGTCAGGCAGGGCTGGGCCAGACTACAGGGGCCGAGACTACCCTGGCCACACAGCATAGGAGCAGCTAGAGCAGACTGAACGTGCCAAACTAGCAAAGTTAAAGTGATCCAGGCCAGAGACAGGGCCCAGCGTCCGGGCTCCCCAGCCCTCACCCGCCCCTGCTCACCCTCTCC